CGGCCACGGCACACGGCACACGGCACACGGCACACGCACACGCACACACACACACACACACGCACACGCACATTCTCACGCATACGCATTCGGCCACAACCACGACCACGGCCACGGCCACGGCACACGGCACACGGCACACGGCACACGCGCACGCAAACGCACACGCACACGCACACGCATTCGCCCACGCACACGCTACACGCGCACGCGCACGCACACGCACACGCACACGCACACGCACACGCACACCCACACGCACACGCACACACAGACACCTTTTCTTGGACATTGGACACCCCCGAGATGGGGGCGAGGACTATAGGGGCGAAGACTGGCAGGAGCTGTGGTTTCGAGCTTAATCCCGCTTGATCCCGTTTAATCCGGCTTCATCCCGCTGAATCCCGCTTAATCCGGCTGAATCCTGCTTGGTCCGAGGCGCTTTCTGGCGCAACAGCTCCCAAATTTGGCTTCATCCTCCTTAGTCTTTCCGACGAAAGCCTCCCAGGTAGTTGTCTCCTTTAAGCCATATGCAGGAAGGGCAGAGGGGACGAAGGACGGGGACACAATTCATCGTCGATTCCCCAGAAAATATGGAAAATGTGGGAAGCGGGGGGGAAGGCAAAGACCCAGATTTTTTTTTTTTTTTTTTTTTTTTTGTTTTTTTGTTCTCTCTCTCTATATATATATATGTACATATATATGGAGAGTCCTGCTAGTTGTGTGCATTCGTTTGTGTGTCCCACGGCCCCTTCAAAACTTCTGGCCCACGTTTCGGGCCACCCGCGGCTCGATCTTCGGACACGGCCTCGGCCCCGCCGCCTCCCTGCCGGAGAGGCGAGGCTGCGCGACGTCTCTTCGCCCTCCTCCGCCTCCCGTCTGCCGCCCCTGCCCTTAGTGGGCCCTGGAAACGACAGGGCGGTTTTTGTTACCGGTTCCGTTTTGGCGTTTTTTTGCCAGTTCCGACGCCGTTTTTTTACCGGTTCCGTCGCCGTCTTTTGACCGGTTCCGGCTCCGGTTCCAATCCTTGAGCCCTTTTTTGGCCGCTTCTGGTCGCCTTTTTTTTGCCGTTTCCATTTTCAAGGGACATTTTGTTGGAAACGGTGAAGGAATGGCCCTGCCGTTTCCGGGGCCCACTAAGGGAAGTCCCTGTGGGGCCTTTAGCTGTGCGTCGGTTTGCCGAAGGGGAGCGGCGCCGCCGTGCGGGCGCGCCGACACCAGTGCCGCTGGTGGAGCTCCCTGTGGCCTATGGCTTGGCATCGCTCGGGCGTGTGCACTTTTCCTTCGGCGAGAACCATCGAGGGGCATCCTTGATCATTTTCGGATGCAACTCCTGGGAGGTCAAATTCTAATTTAGCCTTGGTCCGAAATCTGGCTTAGTTCCGCTGAATCCCGCGTAATCCGGCTTAAATCTATTGAATCCCGTTTAATCCGGCTTAATCTCGCTGGATCCGAGGCCCTTTTTGGCGTAACATCCCCCCAATGGGGTTTAATCTTCCTTAATCCATCCGACGAAAACCTCCCAGTAGTTGCCTCCTAAATCATTTGGCGAAAATGCAACGCACGAAACCAAACACAAACACAGGGAATGGACGTCCGAGCGATGGCCAGTATGACTCCACACGACGTGTGAGGGGTGTGCCGAGCTATTGAACCAACGCCATGCGGACCCTGGCACGCGGGCCTTCCTTGGAGCTCCCTGTACGGTCGCGAAACGTCTGAGGGTTGTGCCGAAATGAAGCACCGACGCCACGCAGACCCCCCTGGCGTTTGGGTCTTCGATGTAGCTCCCTTTGGGGCCACCAAACGTGTGAGGGCTGTGCCGACACGTATGAACCGACACCGTGCGGACCCTGGCATCTGGACTTTAGCTGGAGCTCCCGATGGGGCCACGAAGCGTTTGAGGGATGCACCGAGATGGGGCACCGAAGCCATGCAGACGCTGGCATTTCGCCTTTTCGCTGGAGTTCCCACTGGGGGCCACGTAACGTATGAGGTGTGTGTGTGTGTGCCGAAATGGGGCGGGGCCGCCATGTCTAACCTGGCATGTGGGCCTTAGCCGTAGCTCCCTATGGGGCCACGAAACGTGTGAGGGGTATGCCGACATACATGTGAACCCTTGGTACGTGGACCTTAGCTGGAGTTCCCGATGGGGGCCACGAAACATGTGAGGGGTGTGCCGAAATGGGGACCCGACGCCATGCGAACCCTGGCATTTGGGCCTTAACTGGAGTTCCCTCAAGGGCCATGAAACGTGTGAGTGATATGCCGACATGGGACACCGAAGCCATGCGGACCCTGGCATTTCGGTGTCTCGCTTGAGCTCCCTATGGGGACATGAAACGTGTGAGGGGTGTGGGGCACCGACGCCATGCCTACCATGGCATTTAGTCCTGAGCCGGAGCTCCCTATGGGGCCACGAAACGTGCGAGGGGCATGTCGACATGGGGTACCAACGCTATGCGAACCCTGGCATTTGGGTCTGGGCTGGAGCCTCTTGTGGTGCC